CAGTTAGTATTGCAATTATAATGGAAAATGTGGTTTTAACAAGCTATTTAGAAAGTAAGATGGAAGTTAAAACTAGAACACATTTTGCCAGGAAAATCTACACTTTATTCAATCGATTTCCCTCTGCAAAATGACTAGTTTTAAACTGAGCATTCAAACACTAATGATGGTATATAGGAGCCAAAGTAACTGTCCTCAGACTGTTCCTTAAATACACTGCTGCATTACTTTGCCAAAGTCCAGAGAAGTTGCCAAATTTGGTCATGCCTGCTTAGCTTGCTCAGCTGATTGTGCCAGAAAAGAAAATAAGACACAGATGTATTTGAATTCTTTGTGATGCCAGTAAAGGACAGTTAATGGCTTTATCTCAACCCTCCCCTCCAGCTGGGCACAGGTGGAGGATAATGAGGGTTCTTTCCCTATTCAAACTCAATTATTTACCAGTCATGATAACCAACATCTTGCACAGCCAACCACATTAAGCTAGGCATCAAACACACACCAAGAACTACCTCTGCTGACAACTACTGAGCTTTGTTTATAAACTGAAGTGCATAATAGTTTTAATTGGTACAAATTTGACCAACATTTTCCCCAATAGCTTCTTACTGAAATAATTCCTACTGAAATAATATCCAAGAAACAAGCTGACTTAAATGTTTATGTCATTCCTTTTAGTACTCCTTTCCCACTTGTATTCACAAAGTAGCCAAATTCTGCAATTCTATAACTATTCCACACATCTTCAATGTGAAGTAAAATTACCCATATAACTCTTGACAGTTTAGAAATGAGAGAATATAGATTATGTTGTGGAAACAACTATAATTGAGCTACATTTATTTGGAGTCAATTGCTAAGGAAACCCTTAGAAGGAAAGTAGAATGACGCAAAAAAGCACAAGCCACCAAGAACAAATGAACATAAAAAAGGAAACTGCATCCTTTAGCTTAACACAAAATAATTTTTGCTTGTCAAAGATCAAAATCCTTTTGCTTCACGTTTAAATTTGTAAATTTTTGAAATACTAATCTTTCATAATTGTAAATTAATTATCATTTAAATTTTATTTCGTTCTGTATATGGATAACCCAACATCAGTTGAAAGACGTACCTCCAAGGCCCTAATGATTTAAAAAAAATGTTCTGCTCCAGAATTGCTGTTTTGAAACTTGTAACAGCCAAATAGCACAATTTTGTTAACACACTACTGAGCACTTCGTCTATAAGATTGAGCAGAGTCGATTTTAAAGATTTTATAATGTTTTGTGATCACAGTTAAGGTCTGGAAGGATGCAGTGGAAAATTAATATTGCAACATTCCAGGAACTGGATACTTAAATGATCCAAGATGAGTAAGTCGTGTACTTGATCTGCCACTTCAAAATAAAACCACCAACTAGAACTCCAGCGCTCTAACAGTTAAGGTAGGTAATTGCCCAAATTGGGGTCAGCAACGTTCCTCTCTTAGTTCCGTAAAGGAGGAAAAACCTCCAGTGTACACACAAATAGATTCACCGGATATTTTATCAAAAGCCACGAATTTCTGGAGTGCACATTAAGCAACAACTCTATCTTGTGCCTGATCACAATGCTTTCCCAAAAATCAGACTTTCATTAATATCACTTACATAAAAAATCTCAACACATCGATGCAGGTACAGTTACAACATTTAAAAAAGAGTTGGACATGAATAGCCAAGGTGAAGAGGGATAAAGGGACAAATGCAGTCAAGTGGGACTAGTTGGGAAACTTGGTCAGCATGGACGAGTTGGACCGAAGGGTCTGTTTCCGTGCTGTATGACTGTATGACATCCTAGAGTTTATGAGATCTACAGCACAGAAAAAGGCCCTTTGACCAACTGCATCCTCACCAGTCAAAAACAACCACCTAACTATTCTGATCCCATTTTCCAGCACTTGGCCCACAGCCTTTTATACCTTGGCATCATGACAGCTCATCTAAATACTTAAATCTTCTAAAGGTGTTTGGTTCTACCACCCTTGCATACAACGAGTTCCAGATTCCCACCACCATATAGATGAAAATGCTTCTCCTCCCATCTCTTCTAAGCCTTCTGCCCTTACCTTAAATCTATGCCACCTAGCCACTGACCTCTCCATCAAGGGAGAAAGTTTCTTGTCTACCCTATCTATACCCCTCAATTTTTTTTACATGTTATGATACTCCCTCTCAATCTCATTTGCTCGAAGCGAAACAACCTCAGTCGATCCAATCTCCCTTCATAACTGAAACTCTACAGCCCAGACAACATTATCGTAAATCACCTCTTCACCGTCTCCAGTGCTATCACATCCCTCCTATAAATGTGGATTCCAGAACTGCACATAATACTCTAGGTATGGCCTAACCGACATTTTATATGCTCCAGCATAACCTCCCTGCTCTATGCCTCAGCTAACAAAGCAAGAATCCCATGTGTCTTCTATACCACTTTATCCACCTGTTCTGATACCTTTAGGGACTGGTTTACACGCACACTAAGGTCCTTCTGACCCTCTATGCTTCCCAGGGACCCACCACTCATCATGTATTCCCTTGTCTCATTTGTCCTGCCCAAGTGCATTGATCCGGATGTCTACCTTCAAAAATCAGCCTTTAATTTTAGTTCAGTTGGCAACCACTTTCCTCTTGCCTTTCTTCCTCAGTTTGCATTAAACTGCAGGTGAGGATAATTTTCTGTCAGCTCTCCTGGCACTACAATGCTGAAATTCATCAAGAGCCACACCAGATGAATTTAATTCAGACCTTTCTTTTACAGAAAACCAGAGTGAAATAAAAATGAATTGAATAAATTTAATACGTATGCAGCTTCTGAATCTTATTATTGGCATACATAACTTTAAAAGTCAAATCAGATTTATGCAATATATGTAAATAACTAAAGTGCAACTTTAGAACATGCAGATATTAACTGAAAATTAGTGAGGGAGCACATGAACCCCATTCAAACACATGAAAGTCAAGCTTAGAAAATGAACAATGAACCTCACATCCTTTTAATTTCTGAGATCTATATGAACAAAATTGTGGCAGTAGAACCCAAATACCATTTTTAGATATTTCATTTAAAGAACAGTAATTGAACTGTGCCAGCAAAGTGCGAAAGAGATTATTACTTTTCCTATTTTTCATAGAAGCGTTATTTAGATCATGATAGGGTAAGCAATGTTCTTCTCAAATTTTGATCCTGACACTTCAAGATCGAAAGCTTTCTTTTAAGATTTGCAGACACATTGTTTGCCACAATTTGAGCCACTATTTTCAAATTCAGAAGAAGACTGGTCTTTTTTCTCATTTCAAAAAGTATAACATAGATGCAATGGCGCGTTGTCCTTCGAATTTCTATACATGTTACAATCTGAAAAAAATGTTCCTTTCCCAGACAGAATCTCCTGCCAAAGAGGAAACCATGTCAGTTTTACTCCTACTAAATATATGTTAAGCCCATATGTAACATTTCTGAACTGGAACAACAACCCGCACTTAAAATAACAAACTATTGTAATGCTCCAAAAATGTAAAGGGCAAGATCTGCGGCTGGCACACAGCCAGATCAAATACCAGAACACAGTAAAAGGCAACAACAAAGCACTTTGGCTCATAAAAAGACATTACAGCTATAGTATCTGATTTCTCAAAAGCAAGCAAAGACCAACAATAGTATAAAGCAAAAAGGTAAGGCAGCAAAACATGTTCAGTTAATCCCAAGGGTATGAAGTAAATAAATTGTTCAGTAAATCTATTCACCCTAAAGCACCTCCCTACTTGTTCACAATTTAGTGGCAAACAAACTTACCACAAGTATCTTCAACATTATTAATGTTATAATAGGATATATCCAGTCTTCTTGGTTGTATCAGTAAAAATCAGTTTCAACTTTGTCAAAGTTTCAATAAGTAATTTTCCAAATCCACATTTTTAAGCTAACTCCACTAACTACTGGATGTATTGCAGTTTTTTGCCCCATTTTCAAAGGATTCTACTTGCTTAACAATGTTACCACTTCATCCTCAAAGGTGAAAGATAAAGCTGCCTTTATTGATTACAGTCAATTGTACAAACAAGTGAACATTTATATTGGTTTATAATTATTTCAGATTTGTCTTGCTTAGAATATTCCATAGGTAAGAGCAAGAGAACAGCAGCATTAAAAATACTAAGCTAATACCATCTAGAAAACATTTTTTTTCAATTCTAAATATAATTCTTGACAGGAAATGGTTAATTGAATAGGAGTGTTATTTGGTGAGTGCTTTAGTCGTCTTTCTTGGCTAATTTATTTAACTTGCCAGTAGCACTGCAGTTTTTATTTCACATTTAATATCAGCAGTGTAGTTCTATTCAATGCATTCCAAACACCTATGTAGAAGTAAAACTGGCATGAATACATGGGTGATGGTTTTATATAATTACCAATAATATGACATTTAAAATCAAATGCAACAAATGTTTATCTTAGTTTTGTGATCGTGATTGAGAATCAAATCAGAAGGGTGACTATAACGTCTTTAAGAAAAGAAAATTACATAATCGTGCAGTTGTTTGCTTACCAGTAAATATCAAAAATATCAACTGCAGAGACCCTCATGAGAATTTTCCAGTACTTCGGGAAACAAGAATGTTAAAATAAACACTGCAAAGGAAAGCTATGTAAATATGATTCATAGCGAAATAACACACAAATCAGTCCTGCATGGAATGTCAACCCCAGACTATATGGTTTTTAAAAATGAGGTATTTTGTGTTTTTGTATTGGTTTATTTTGATCAAGTTGAGAAATTGCACAGCTGAGAATAAGGGTATACAATGAATTAGTTCCATTTTAAGAAAGAAAATTTTCCACATAGAACTGATTAAACTTATCAAACCTATTAATAGAGACTTGTATTTTTCAACATTCTCTTAAGAAAACACAGTATGACAAAATGAAGGGTGGGTTCAAAGTGAAAAGGTTAATTTTTTTTTAAAACTTACATCCGAACAAAGAGAGACTGTTTCGTTGCCAGCCCAGGCGGTGAGTACTTCTCAACTAGTGCCAATGTGCTGAAGCCGAACTTGTGAATAGGCTCATTGGAATCTAGTGGTGGAAAATCACCATCGACTTCCCCATCATCCTCCGCGATATGAAGGCAGTAGACATCCACATTTTCACTGCAGTAAAGAAATAGCAAGCACTTAAGAAAAAAATCAAATCGACAAATGGTCAAGTTACTGCAGTGGTGTAAGTCTAGCTGCAGTAACCTCCTGCTGACAAAGGAAAGCCTGATTGGGCAACAGAGTGCTCTGTGCAGTAAAACAAACGCCAGAAATGGTTTGTTTTTAAATAATAACACAGACTAACTGGTTTTTAAAATGAAAAGCTTAAAATAAATAAATATTGTATTCAATAGCGTAAATTTTAACACATTAACCTCACATTAATGTTTGTGAGCAGATCACAGACTTTGGCAGAAAACAAGTGCAAACCCACTATGCAACTGGCGTTATTCCCATTCTTGTCGAAGCAAACTGCATCATGGCTCTCAGATTTGTATTGCCAGGATGCAAAAATAAGAAAACATAATGTTTGGCAGAGCGAGAGTATTTTTAACTAATAGCCTATTGAACATGAAGAAAATACTTCTAAAATATGCTTATTTAGCAGTTCAACAGCATATTATTTTCACGACTAATAATTTCTCTCAGCAGACTACAAAAACTCATGAGCTTTTCAGAAACATGCTGACAGATGAACCACATTTCAGCCAGAAGACACACTTAGAATGCTCTGGCTGGTGGTAGAAACAAGCAGTAGCTGTTGGATGAATGAGGAATTTACAGTTGAGAGAGAAAGACAGTGTGTGTGTGTGAGAGACAGAGAGCGCGAGACAGAGAGCGCGAGAGAGAGAGCGCGAGAGAGAGAGCGCGAGAGAGAGA